TCCAGCGCCTGCAAGGTGTGGATCTCCTTCGACGTGCTGTGCTGCACCGCCAGCATCTGGAACGTCACGGCCATCGCCCTCGACCGCTACTGGTCCATCACCCGCCACCTGGAGTACACGCTCCGCACCCGGCGCCGCATCTCCAACATCATGATTGCCCTCACCTGGGCACTCTCTGCCTTCATCTCCTTGGCCCCGCTGCTCTTTGGCTGGGGGGAGACTTACTCAGAGGACAGTGAGGAGTGCCAAGTCAGCCGGGAGCCTTCCTACACCATCTTCTCCACCTTTGGCGCCTTCTACCTGCCCCTCTGCGTGGTGCTCTTTGTGTACTGGAAGATCTACAAGGCCGCCAAGTTTCGAATTGGGTCTCGGAAGAACAACTCCATCACCCCCATTACACCAGAAGCCCTGGAGGTAGGTCAACTCGGTTGTATTTTGCTCTGGTCCAAGCCAAGCCCTTGCGGCAGTGGGGGAAACTTAGAGCTAAAGCGTGCGAGCAAACAGCATCCCACCAAAGCCCTGTGAATCCTGGAGGCTTTCAAGGGAAAGTTGACCGCAAACTTGCGAGCCCAGTCTTCTGACTCCTTCCGAGTCCCCGGCTGTGGGCGCGCAAGGTGTAGCTAAAGCAACTTTGGGCCAGATTGCGAGCCTGATCTCCACGTGGGCGTGCGGTGACTCACAGATGTCTCCCCGTGGAATGCTGAATCAGTGCTTGCGAGCGTGAGTAAGGGGTCACCGGTCCTCCCGTGGGGAGGCGTGTGGGGGTGTGAATGGATGGGAACCCATGTCCGCTGTGGACGATAACCTGGCAAGCAGCTGTGGCTTTGGGGAGGCTGTGAATTTACTCACACACAGAAGACACACGTGCAGAACGTCCTTCTAAACCCTTCCTAATCGTGGCTGCATCGTGTCAGTTAATCACAGGCACGGTGACCGTGCACTGTAATGACTTCTTGGGGGGAGGAAGGAAATGTATGCTCATTTTCTTGCCTTTCCTACCAAGGACTCTTAAACTCAGTGGGTTCAGAGAAAGCAAGGAGACTTTTGTGCACGGCATGTGCGTGTGTGCCTGTTCTACTGATCAGATTGTAAATGGGGAAATAATCTTATTGCAATGCTGTGTGAGCGATTCCACTTGCCCATATATCACTACTCTCTTTAGCTTCTAGCCTCGCTTAAAAATAGTCTCCGTTACCCAGAGGAGGGTCACACAACCACTCTCCCCTCAATTAGAGTGTGACGTAAATGGCCCGTGTTTCCCTGTGAGCTCTGGCCATCACTTGCATAGTTTGGTTGTGTACCTGCTGTGTGGGATCAGCTGACTGAGGCACATATGGTGCAACTTGTGTTTGTGTTTGGCAGGTAAAAGAAGCTGCCCAGCAGCCACAGATGGTCTTCACTGTCCGTCATGCCACTGTTACGTTCCAGACGGACGGAGACACGTGGAGAGAGCAGAAGGAAAAGAAAGCTGCCCTCATGGTGGGCATCCTTATCGGGGTCTTTGTGCTCTGCTGGATCCCCTTCTTCATCACGGAGCTCATCAACCCCCTCTGCTCGTGCGACATCCCACCCATTTGGAAGAGTATTTTTCTATGGCTGGGCTATTCAAATTCCTTTTTTAATCCACTCATCTACACTGCTTTCAACAAAAACTACAACAATGCCTTCAGGAACCTGTTCTTTAGACAGCACTGAGCAGAAAAAGCTTTCCTGCTGCCCCAGGAAGCTGATTTCAACTCTCAATGAATCCTACCAAATTCTTGAAGAAGTTCAAAGCCACAGATACCGAGGCGATGCTAAACACGCATCCCCATGGGTCGTATGTCCCAGCAACGGTCCCGGTTCCTACACAGACTCTCCGTCCCAGCCTCTAAGTCAGTTGTTATTTTTTCTGCAAACAGCATGTGAGGGTTTCTCTGGCCAACAACACAGCATTCTTCTTCCTCCAGTGCCCCACTGCTCTCCTCCCACCTTCCTAGTGACGATCTTGGGATTGCTCGGTGGCAGTAATGGTGCAGAGGAGTCTTCTGGCAAAGAGTCGTATTGGAAACTCTGGTTTGGCCACTGCTAGTCCCTCATAGCATTAATCAACTTTGTCCCATGTGCAAAGCTGGGACTCTTTAATGTCAGGAGGTTTTGTGATTATATATGACACTAGATATTTTATGGCTTGGTTGAAAAGGCTGTTTTGTTTGTTTTGTCTTTCGCCGGTAGAGACTGTTAAGTGTTTGTATTTGGGGAATAAAACCCTCAGTAAGGGCTAAGAGCAGACTCCAAGTACAAAACCTTTTCTCACATGCTTTAGCCACAATGAATTTTGCTATTTGCTATTGGATTCCGTGGAACGTTTTAAAAAAAAAATATTTATTGTGAAAGCTTAATGCATGGTGTACCCTGCAATGAGAGAGAATGCATGGGAAATCCACCTCTCGTTCTCTGACTGCTACGTGTCAGCATCTGCCTCAGACCTTTACTTTCAGAAATACCAGCTGTAAATGTTAAATCTGTGTGCCTGTGTTTCCCATTCTAAACCATAAATGTATTTTGAGCAGCTGTGGGGCAGGTTTCCTGTAGTTGCAGGAGACACAAGGAGTGTATTTCAAATTGCCTGTCAATGAGGGACTGTGCTTTACTATTTCTGAGTGCAATTCAGGTCTTCTTGAAATGAAAGCAAAGACCCCACTTACTCCTCTGAGCCCTGGGTTGCAGGCAAAGGGCAGTTAATGACCAGTGATGTTTCATTCTGGAAGCATAACCAAACCATAGAGGAGCTCTTCTGCGACGACCAGACTTAAATATTTCTGCTTTTGCCCACCCGTCCTTCTCTTTCTTCCCCCTAAGGCTCCAGTCCTGCCTGGTCATTACTGCTCTGTTGCCTCCCTGCCTTTCCATGTTGCCAACGTAATTATAGTAGTTGGCATTTCACTCCTAGAATTAGAATTGTGCACTTTATGCTGCACTGCTGGATGACTGACAGGCCTTCAGATAAAGAAAAGCATTAGTTTTAACTATCGTTTTTTATGGGGCAGCTGCTGAAATCAGACCAGAACTGTAATGGTGGAGAAAAAAGACAAGATGGGAATTGGAATGACATGATTTTGTGTCAGATATCTCAAGAAGAAGAGATAAAAGGGAAAAATGTCAATAAATGATGGAAAAGCTCCCTGGGGGTGGTTAGGAAGAGTTCTTACCCTTAGCAGATCGTGAGACATCAGATGTTAAAATTGTCACTGGTCCTTTAAACCTGTCAAAAATCCTGGTGGAGTTGGTTAAAAAGTCCTTTCTCTTTTCATATCTTGGGACAGGTGAAAATGGAAGCAGAGCTCAAGGTGCTATCAAGTGTTGCAGCTCTTTCAGGACCAGTTAGACAAACATCCATCAGGACTGAGACAGATGTAGCTGATCCTGCCTTGCAGCAAGAGGAGAGATAGGATGGCCCTTGAGATCTTTTTCAACAGTATTTGATAAAAGTCTGTTAGAAATATTAGGTAAAATCCTGCCCTCATTGAAAGCAATGGACAAATTCTCAGTGACTTCAAGCAAATGAGAATTTTATCCAGCATGTCTTGTCTTGTAAAAGCATAGTTTTAATGTTAATTAATTCAAGGAGAAGATGGGTGGGATGGGAGCAATCTTCCAACTCCCCTGAAAGAGTCTCTGATCTGTGCCAACCATGGACCAATCTCTCTACAGCTGGTAAAGAGCATTTTTTTGTAACATAGTTTAAAGTATTATTAGTGACATCTCTGATATATTGGAAATTGTAATAAACTCTTGAGCCACTTTTTTTACTGAAGATGTAAAGGTTGCATTGCCTTCTCTGGACAGTCCATCACCAATGCAGAGTTGTTCTTTTCGGGAACTTACTACTTTTGTTGTGTCAAAGGTTGTTTAGCCAAAACTGAGTCGGGAAAAACGCTTCCTTGCCCAAGCCAGACCTTCAGCTAAGCTTGGTAGTGCCTGAAAGTAGGAGACTACATGTTAGGCCACCACAGCAACGATTTAAACACTAAAGCACGGATTAACCGGGAAGTTGGACTTTAGTCCAGTGTTTTAACACATAACATCATGTCTACACAACCCTGTTTCAGTCCAAGCTGTGTTCATCCCCATTTTTATTTGCTCTTTGATAAGTATTGCAAATTCTCTGCCTGTGTTGTGTGGGATTCTAGCACAGGTCGTGGAATCAACTGCAAACTCAGATTAGTATCCTGTGTAAGGAGACAAAATTAAACTGAAATCAGTGGGAAAGATCCCTACTTTTGCTGCAGCTCAGTGCTGGGTTGTTATTCATGCTATGCCTTAAACGGTGACAGGGAGACAGGAGAGAATTTTAAAATGACACTAATTTGTCTGTAGTCATGGATAGTCCACCATCCGGGTGTAAATTACATCCACATTTATTTGACAGCCCACATCCCATGCAATCCATATCGATCTTCTGCAAATAACAGCTTCCAGTTGGTCATAAGTTTTGTTCTTTTGAATCTTGACATAATTAGCAGCTACATTATGGGCCAATTCCTACAGCTTTTACTTGAGACTTAAGTCCATTAGCTTTTCTTCTAAATACCATTCCTGCAATTTAAAATGACCATGCATGGAAAATATCAGTATTCTGGAGATTGTGCTGAAGAATCATATAGAAACATGCTGTGATGGTCGGAGCACAGTGAAGGGGCACAAAGAAACCTTGACTTCTGATCCTGGCTCCGAGGCTTTTTACGAACCTCTCAGTATTCAAACACAGATGCCGAGTGAGACTGGGAGTGGGCTCCCAGGGACCCAAATCCTGTTTGAAGACCTACACAACCCCAGCTTCAAAGGATGTATCTTGCACCTTCTTGTTCCCATTCATAAAACAGAATCAGTGGTGTGAAGAGATCTGCCTCACCGAGGCTTTGTGTGGATTAATTAGTAAATGTTTATCATGTACCAGGAAGGTGGAACACTCTGGTTTGAATGCCAAGCGGCATTATAAATTGGGCTTCTATTTAATTCCTCGGAAGAACATTATTACCCATTATTACTGAGTTTCCTATGCAATTTAATGGCTATATAATACTTCCAGAAAAGATTTAAGTAACCTTCTTCCAATTACAATTAATTTATTTTCCTCTCGATGCTCTGACAGTTCAATGAACATCTGTATGGGAGCTTGATAGCTAGGGCAACGACGGTGCCTGCTGCATGCTGTCTGCTGAACGTCTCCTCGCAATGCCGAATGCATATTGTCAAGGTTCAAGGAGCAGCAGCTCTCCAGGCAGTCTGCTACTGTGTTTCCTTTATTTTTTACAGAGAAGAAAAGGTCACAAAAGAATGCCCTTGGATTACATGACAGGTTGGCTGACCACCTTCCTCCTCCGCCCCCATCCCGCTGACCTTTCATTTCGATGCAGGCAGGGCAGGGAGGTGACTCCAGGACACGTACCGATCCTGCACAGCCAGAGGTGGGCCACGCATGACTTCATCCCCTTTTTCTAAAAATTAGGATTCTAAAACTTTTCCTAAAAATTACCGCTGGGAGACATGGCCTTTAAACTGGCAGCAGCAGCTGAAAGTGGGAGTTTCCTGGAAGTAAAGTTGCAGGCAATTAAGGAAATTTCACCTGACAAAGGTAATTAATGACTATTAGTTCCAGCGATTGCTGGGGTGAGGTGAGACTGACAAAGTGTCAGAGTGATTTTTGCAGTGTAGCGATTTGAGCTGCTTTGTTCGCGAGGGGCTCGTCACCATTTTACTCTTGGATCCCTTATTTTACCTGCATTGGTACAGCAGCAAACTGGGACACCAGCAAAGTCATGGGGAACATGATACGGGCATCATTAATGCTCCATGTAGGAACAGAGGGGTAAAACATCCATGGCAAAATCTGCATCCCCACTGCGATATACCACGGCTGAACATCATGAAACTGCCATCATTTTTATCAAATTTAAGAGGTGCCCAAAGAGCTCTTTAAATCACCATTATTTTCAGCAACACCGAAGTGCTGAGGAAGTTGCAGAAGACTCAAAGAGAGCTGAAGTTGTGCCAGTATTTTAAAAGGGCAAATTGGGAGAGCCAAGTATTTATAAGGCTAATACTGTTACTGATTTACAGCTTGAAATTGATCCTTGGCTAAAATGTGGAACAGCTGATAAAAGACTCAATGAATAAAAAATTACAGGAAATAAATATAATTAAAATAAATCACATTGATGTCTGTCTTTGATTGCATCACATGGTTCATTGCTGATGGTCAATAAAGTGTTCACTCCTCAATAATGAATCTCACTTGACAACACTCAACACTTCCATGAAAAAGTGAAGAAGAAACCAATATGTGGTTCAAACTGTCCAATATTTGCAAATGACTCATGGACTGGAAAAGGTGTAAATACAGAAAATGAAATCACTTGTACAGAGAAATGAGGATGCAAACTGGCCGGGGGCATTTTAGTCCAGCGTGAGGGAAAGGCACGCACCCAGGAGCAGCAGGATGGGACCCTTGCTGCAGGCGGGGAGGCACAGCCACGTCACGGTGGATCAGGAGCTGAACGTACAGGGACTGTTCAGCATTTTGGGGACAGGCAGACTTATTTCTTACCTGTGCATGGGCTGTGTCCGGCTATGGATTTTATTTGGGTCACTGGAGGGGAGGCTACGATTTCAGTTCGTTGCCTTTTTGCTGTTCCCCCGTTCCACGCTGCTGC